GCTTTAATTGTAGACGCTTCAGGTGAGACCGAAGAAAGACTCATTGTAAGTGAGATATAGTCTTTGCGCTGTTGGACGCACAGTGTCAATATATTTTGTTGGAGCACTCACAGAGCGTCATATGGAAAGAATGGCAAATCCCGGACGTCCGAATTTTAAGCATGGCAATTCGAACGTTTTTCATTGCAACTTTAGTTCATCCGAGGTTGATAAACATGGTAATTTTGTGACCAAAAAAATGAACCAAGACAAACTTGCCGTGTTTTTTGACTACTAAAATTGTCACCCCGCGTCTGGGGCTGAGCTTTGTAGGGGCCAAACCGTGTTGTCGCCCGCCCAGGAAATTGACAACTTTTTTACCTATGCATCTTCCGAGCCCAGCGCAACTAGAGTTCAACCAGGTGATGCATCCTCTCATGCACGCAATGCATCCCCTGTCCTCTCTGCATCTCGAGCATGTAGCCGCGGAGCAGGGAGCACCAGAGCAGCAGCCTCCCGTCGTCGTCTCACGGAGCAAGGAGGAGATGTCGGCCACCGGAATTTCTCTCACTTCGTGGATCTTGCATCGCGCAGATAGGGGGCATCAGCCTGCAGCGAGAGGATCAACGACATCCGCGCGGCCGCGGTCTCATGCCGGCCCACTGCTCGCACAAGGCATGAACCCATGCATGGATGCACATGCACAGAAGCAGGCAAATTGGTATCTTCCCCCAAATTCCCAAATTGATAATTAATGGCTTGATCTTTTTTCAGTTCTATACATCTTATACAGTCCTGATCTTATACATATTGCAATGTAGGTAGTCCGGGTCAAGGAAAAACAGAATCAGAGAAGAACTTATTTGGTTATTAAAAGAAAAATACATGAGATAACTGAAGTTGAGGAAGATCATTTATTGTCATTGCTTGATTTGGAAGAACAACATCTATGAAGATGACACCACAGATTTTAGAAGCATAAAGAATCGAAAAGCTGATTTTCATGTCTTATATCTCAACTTTTTTGTATGAGCTAACTTAATAGTTTGTTGGTTCATGGTTGACGGTGGAATGCCTTGACAAGATGTGGTCACTCCATCTTGTAACATTGTACCATATACCGATGCCTATGATATTTCAAAAAAATGTGCTCTCCCTTAGTCTGGCCTGCCCAATTTTTTCTTTCAAGTTCCGTGACTTTTTTTTTGAGGTAAAAACCCCCTCATATATATTAACCCAGAATGTTCAGGGGGATAGTTACAAGGTCATGTGGGGTGCCAAACCACACATGGCGACCAAAATCAAGGGAAATAGCATATCTAGCTAGCAGATGAGCCTCGAAATTACTCTTCCTACTCTCAAAAGGGAACCTGCAGGCCTCAAACTCACCTTTCCTAGCCCGAATCTTTTTGATAATAGCTCCGTTTTTTCCTCCAGACTCTTCTTCAATTTCTTTTACCACGGGCTGGCAGTCCGAAGCAATGAAAAGATGGTGTTCACCTAAATCCAGAGCCAGAGATAAAGCCTCCCTGCATGCCAATGTTTCAAGCGTTGGAGGATCTGTTAAAGGATAGACCATTGCCGATGCTCCCAAGAACAGACCCCTCTCATCCCTGCATAAAGCAGCAGCCGAACCCCTCCCCTGGTGGGAAGAAACAACAACATCAACATTTATTTTTGAGAACCCCGCCGGAGGAGGAACCCATGGATCGCGGACACTGCGAGCAATTACTGAACTTGTTTGGGTGTGTCTCCTTGGAGTCTCAATCAGAGCTAGATCATCGATGAACCTCTGAATAAACAGATGAGTTGACATAGGGGATTGGAACTCCGCCTCGTGGATAGCCTTTCGTCGCGCAAACCAGATCGCCCAAAGAGTGACTGTCATTTGCAGGAATTCCACATGTGACAATGACGCTTTCAGAGAAAACAGCCAGTTCCTCGCGTGGCCCTCATTTGTATGCACCATGTGCTCTATCATATCTGAATCAGCCAAGGCCCAAACACATCTAGAGGGCGAGCATTCCAATAGTGCATGCTTCCAAGAATCTTCCATGCCGCACAAGCTGCACCTCGGATTATTAGCCATTTGCCGTTGTGCTCTGACATCGTTCGTTGGCAAAGAATGAAGAGCGAGTCTCCATAAAAATAATTTGAGCTTGGCTGGGACTTGGGTACCCCAAAGAGCGACCCAGTCCTTTGCAGTCTGTTCATTAGTTGAAGATCCCGCTGCCTCCTCCAACCAGCTACCTCTAGTAAATTTCGTGTGAACCAACATTTTGTATGCAGAGCGAACTGTAAAAATGCCTTTTTTTTCTCCTTGCTCCAGGACCAAAATTCCTGAATCTGTCGTGTACATAAAGGTATCTGTAGGATAGTTTCAGCGTCCATTGGCAAAAAAGTATCTCGGATTAGCTCCTCCTTCTAGCTAGCAGTCGTATGATCGATTAGCTCACTAACCAGAATAGGCCCTGAGATCGGTGGTGAAGTAATTGGCCTCATCGTTGTATCTCTCGGGAGCCAATTGTGCTGCCATATATCAGTGCTTGACCCATTACCAATTCTGCGTATAAGCCCTTGGGCAAGTACATCTCTTCCTTCAAGCACAAATCGCCATATCTGTGAAGGATGACTTCCCAGAGATGCATCTAAAATCGATGATTGCGGGAAGTATACACTTTTCAAAATTCTAGCACTTAGTGTATTTGGGTCCTGAAGCACCCTCCAAGCTTGTCTAGCTAAAAGTGCTAAATTGAATAGTTTCAGGTCACGAAAATCCAGACCTCCCATGAATCTTGGTCTAGACATTACGTCCCAAGATACCCATGCAACCTTTCGAACTCCATTCTTGCTTCTCCACCAGAATTTGCGGATGATCGAATTGATGTGTTCACAAAGGCCCCTTGGGAGTTTAAAGTACGACATTGAGTATACCGGAATAGCTTGAACGACAGACTTGATCAACACCTCTTTGCCTCCAACTGATAACAACTTTTCAAGCCACCCCTGTACTTTCTTCTAGACTCTATCTTTGAGATACTTGAAAGTACCATTTTTGGATTTACCAACATCAGACGGCACGCCAAGGTATCTATCATTTAAGGCTTCTTTAGTAACACCGAGAGAAGTCATAACCTCCTCCCTCAGGTTTTCTGGGCATCCCTTACTAAAGAACACTGAGGACTTGTCATGATTAATTTTTTGACCTGAGTTGATGTGCTCAAGTTCCGTGACTGCCTCATGTTAAATCGACTCTCGGGATGATATGATTCCGCTCATCAGGCCCATGGGTTCACCCGTACAACTCATAGCCCATCCAACACAACTTCACGGTCCCACCCGAGCAACCGACTAGGGCCGAAGACCAGGTCAACCCCACACAGTAGCACAGTCAATCAGGACCCACGCGGAGCACCCACCCCCGTGGGCCAAGACCACGCACGACGCGCCACCCCGACCGTCCACACGCCATCGGACGGACGAGGACCAGCTACCCACGTCCACGCACCGTGTCTCAGCCCAGGGTGCAGTAGTATACCGCGTGCACCCCGTGGTCAACTCCGATTCAAAAAAACAATCCCACCACTATCCGCTTCGACTCCAGACGCCGCTCCCGGCCCCGCCCCCGCCGGAACCCTAGGAAGTCGCCGCCCGTCGCCGGGCACGCGGCCGCCGCCATGACCGGGTGCGTCGCCCCTCCTCGATCCGATCGCGTAGACCTTTGCCCTCGCCGCGCTTCTCCGATGGTTCGACCCGCCGCGGTGGAATGCGATCTGCCAAGGTCGGGATAGGAGGCGCCGGCTGTTTTCTATCCCCTTCTCATGTCGAGCTCCGGTGGGATTAGAAAGTGGCGCCCCTTTGGGGTCTGGGAGCTTGCGGGGTCGATATCCCCTTTCACCACTACTTTTTGCGGTTTAATGGATGCACGATTTGGGCGTCGGAAGGGTGGGATTTTCGCAGTTAAAAACGATCACTCTGTTAATGGTTTGGATAGAAAGGCGTCGTCCTGTTAGGGGTTTGGATCCAAAGGCGTCGTCTTTTTTTGCTTGTGAAGCTCAGCGTTAGGATCACGGCTCGATTATGTGAATGTAGCACGTTCTTGCTTGGGATGTGCATGGAAGGCAGGATCAGTTTGGGTGCTGCGGCGTCCATAGTTGGATTGCGTCAGTGCTTTGTAGTTTTGCAGTTAAGCTTGCAATTGCCCGGCAGAAAGATGACGTTTTTGCATTGGTTATGGTTGAGAGGGACATTTCTTTTCTATACCGTGTTACCACTATGTATGCATTTTGTCCTTAGCAATTAAAGAACATACACTTAGTTTTAGTTGAATGGAGACATTTGTTTCTATTCCAGGTTAGCAGTATGTATGCACTTTGTTCGATAGCAATTAAAGAACTTACACTTTGTTCGATAGCAATTCAGGTAGGCTTTTTTTTGCCCCCCGGTGATGGTTTTTTAAAAGAATTTCAAAGGAGTTCATTCACCGTGTCACCCTTGACTCCGCTGTTGTGTCCATCTTAAACTTTTGGATGGCCATCGTTCAGCGTGACTAATTAAAGATCACTTTCCAACGTTTTCTTCTATTTATCCAACTAGCATTGCACGCAAACTTGACTTCAGTCATTGTTATTGGTCGTTAGTTTTACCAGTGTCATGGTTCCTCGGTAAAAAAAATGTTTCTTTCGAACTGACTTCAGCTTAGCAGCGCTTTAATTTGGATCTACGCCGTAGCCAGAAGCCAGTAGTGCAGTCGAATTTGGTCCTGTATTGTCTAAACAAGATGCTTGATCAATATTAGCACGAAAGATATATTGAGGAACTATGCATTAGTGGTACATATATTTGTATTTCGGTGTGCTTGTCAGATTCCAAATCAAATTCATTTTGTACCTGTACAAGACTGACTGGATCTGTTTAAGAAAATATGAAATTATCCCCTTTCCTGTGCCAGCCTTTGGTTCTTCCTTTTTGTGGTTATAATGCTGTTGATAGATGCATAAATATGCATTGAAGTTGTGATAATGTTGTTGGAGTTGTGGAGCAACTTTTCTGTATTCATCTGTCTTAACTCTACTGCTGATAATTTCTGCAGGACATCCTGGCTAATTGATAGCCAAAGAATTGCTTCGAAAATAAAAAACGTTTCTGGGTCACGGGATCTCAGTAAACAAAAATGGTTGAGCAACCCAACTAAGGAGTGCCCGAATTGCAGCCACATCATTGATAACAGTGATGTAAGAGTTGTGCATTTGCATTTCTATTATCCAAAATTGAACTAGCTGTGGTGCATCTGTATATCATTAGCATTTTGTTGTTATTATGGTTGAATGGCTGATTCATGCTTATTTTAAATACTGGATTTAGAGAAAAAAACTATATAGTTAATGTTTGAGCGATTACTGTTAATCTTTATCCAGCCTTCTGCTCATTGGTCTATGTTAATAAGGCAATCACTTCTTCCTAAAGCTGAACAGATTCTGTTATAATTCTGTGACTTTGTGATTCTCATGTTCCAGATCAAGTGTTGTGTGAATATATTGTTTCTAAAGTTTTTGAGTTTTCCCACTTTGAGACTCGGATTAGTATTGTTAATAAGTAATGCCCAGTAAGGTACTAAGGTGTATTGTAAACTGCAACCCTCTGATGAATTAAGGTTTCTCTACAGGTTGTTCACCAGTGGCCTGGTTTGCCAAAGGGTGTAAAGTTTGATCCGTCTGACCAGGAATTGCTTGGGCATTTGCTGGCAAAACATGACAAAGCAGGTTCTCAACCTCACCCATTCATTGATGAATTTATTCCAACAGTCAAGGAAGCTGATGGTATCTGCTACACTCATCCACAGAAACTTCCAGGTTCCCCTCAGTTTAAATCTTTGAAGTACCCAGATATCTTCCTGTGTTTGCTATCTGGTCTTTTTCAGTCAAACCCAAGGCCCAGCATTTCTACTAAATCTAGCAGTATTTTCGGTGTTGGCAATAACATTATTTTTTTCATTCAATATATTACCTTTACACATATGTCACTCAGGAACATTCTACAAATCTGCTATGACGCCTTGCATCTCTAGACTGGTTCAGTTCAGGTCCTTTTTTTTTCAAACGGGGACTTCACTTTCTTTATAAAGCACCTTTTTTATAGCTTTGGCAATAGAAGTGTGCTTTTGAGAAATTTAATCTGTTTTCTCTGCTCTGCTTTGTTGCTTTGCATTACTGTTGAATTGACTTCATCCTTTTCAGGCGTTAAGCAAGATGGAAGTGTATCACACTTCTTCCACAGAACATTTAAAGCATATAACACTGGGACTAGGAAGCGTAGAAAGATCAACACTAGTGATCTTGCCGATGTTCGCTGGCACAAGACAGGCAAGACAAAGCCAGTAATGGTTGATGGACAGCACCTTGGCTGTAAGAAAATAATGGTGCTATATATGAGTACTGTGAAGGGTGGGAAGCCCAAGAAGACTAACTGGGTGATGCATCAATATCATCTAGGCACTGGGGAAGATGAGCAGAATGGGGAATATGTTGTCTCCAAATTATTTTTCCAGCAACAGAATGGGGAAAAGAGTGCATTAGAGCTAACCAACACAGATGTGATGCAAACTACAGTTGCTGAAGCAGATCTTACTGACCTCCCTGAACCAACCGCGGAAGAAGAAGATGAACGTATTAGTAGTATTAGTAACCAAGAGTTTCTTCTTAATAATGAATATAATGCTGACGAGGAAGCCCTTCATAGCCATGAACATAATACTTATCAGGTAGTTGCCTATTCATATCGCTGTATTTCTATGCATTATACGTTCTAGTCAAGTTGAGTTAGCAAATAAAACATAGTAAGTGTTTAAGGTAACTGAATAATGAAGTCGGTAACTGATATGCAGGAAAACGGAGATTGTGAAATAAAAATGGAAGAAAAAGCTGCTGATGAAAATGCCGTCTATCCATCCTCTGAAAAACCTGAGGATGGAGATAATCCACCATCACAAGATCCAAACTTGTGGGAAGGTGATTCCCAGTTTCTGTTAGATTCTCAGCAACTAGCAGAAAACTTGGCCATTTGTGATGAGTTCCTGCAGAGTCAGACCTCATGCGGCGATGGAGATGAACCAGGTTCGATCAAGCCTCGCCTGGCAGTTTATGCCCAATTGCCAGTAGAGGACTTGAAGAAAGATCTGCAAGAATACAAGGACTTGGGCCCTTCAGACAATGCAAATCTTGAGCCTGAAAATAATGCTGAACTTCGATTGAGCCAACTCGTAAGATTTTGATACCCTCATGCAGTTTGTTGACATGTTCAGTTTTCCCTTTCCACCCTGGGTTTGCTAATCCGTGCCTTACTTGCAGGAATTTTCACAGGACAGCTATACGATGGGAATTTTCACAGGGCAGGCGGCTGATTGACGTCGTCTCTCCTTGAATGCACTGCCAGCACCCTGCGCATGAAGAAACATCCAAAACCCCTTTTTGCGAGACAATATTAGAGCAATATGCTGCAAGCATCACCAACTGTGGTTTTCAGCTATGTGGTGATGTGGCTATTTTGTCTCTGTGAATCCGAGTTGTAACCTGCCAGCTTAAGACGTTGGCACTGTATATGAGTCGGGGTTGTTTATGCACTGATGAATTGCTCTCAGGCATACGAACTATTAAGTTATGAAGAAGGCCAGAAGGTGTGATGCTGTGCGCTGGTTACTGTTCAGCCCTAGAACTAGCTGTGTCTGGCAGCATGCGCTTGTAAATTGTAAGGATTAGCTGCCTCATTTTGGGAATCTTGAATGAAATGGTAAATGATTAGCTGATGTACTGATGAGTTTTTTCTTCAGATGCAATTATAAATCCTGAATTCGAGTTGTCTAATGATGTTGCGTTGACAACATTGGCCATCATGGTACCACCTATTAAATGTGAAAAATCACTTTCATGTGCTGGATTAATACCTTGGTGAAGTTGGGGGGTGAGAATTTCGTGCAAGATTGATCTTGTGATAATCACATGACAGAGATGGAAACCAACCCCACAACTCCCTTTCAATGTCTGGTATATATATCTCTATAAGTCGGTATATAGTTTCGAATGGGTTATAACCGGCAGGACTTGACTCACTTGACAGCCATGTTGGGTAGGTCCCGGGTGGGTTGGATTTAGGGTCTGTTTGGAATGGCAGAATAGAACATCACGGAGATACGTAGAAAATAAGATGAGCGACTTCACATGTGGTGTGTCAAGCTAAAATCCTTACAAATTCTTTAATGCAGAAGAGAAGTTGTTTGATTGTGACGATTTGATGCTTCACAAATTAATGATACAGTACATGATTATGGAGAGAGAGAAACGAGTCAAGGCTCAAGATTTCCTCCATACTTTTTTAATCCTACGGACAAATGTATTTGTTTCAAAAGTGGAGTACAAAATAAAAGGGGGGGTGGCATAGGGTTCCTGTCCTAGGGAAAAAATGGCTGCCTGCATCACTAGATAACATAATATGCGCAACACAAATTTAGTTTTCTGATCTTCATAAGAATGGTTGCATGCATCGTTGGATGTAAAAGTCGAGAGCTTTCCTCCATCGGAAAACATGACGTACATTACTTCGTCGACCATGGGAGTAACTTAACAAGTAACGTAGCGCACTTCGAGAAATTTTTGCTTATTGTAATATAGCGCTTTTCAAGACAAGATGAGTCTACAAGTTAATTAATGAAGTCTTCTACAGTATGACACTACTACTATGTTATACTTTGCACTATGAATGTAGTAACTTAGACTAGTGTCATATACTCCATCCGTTCCTAAATACTTGTCTTTCTAGGCATTTCAACAAGTGACTACATACGAAGCAAAATGAGTGAATCTACACTCTAAAATATGTCTACATACATTCGTATGTAGTAGTCATTTGAAATGTCTAGAAAGACAAATATTTAGAAATGAAGGGAGTATATAACACTAGTATAAATTACTCTCCACTATGACCAGCCTAAGGCCATGGTCAACGCTACGGCCTCATTTGGTTGTTGGGGTGGAAAAATCCAGGGAAATAGGCCCCTGGGGGGAGATCTTCGTGTGCATATGAATCCCTCCCACCACGGGGGAAATGGTCCCACTACCCCATGTGCCCAAATGGCAACAAGGGAGGGAAAGAAACCCCTCACCTAAAACATACAGATATAACACAACAGATCAAAGATAATTAAAAAAAAAGATCAAAGATAAAAACTGCACAAATAATTTTACAATGAAACAGACACATACAAAAACTTCAGAATTCATGTAAACTATAATTTTATTAAAAAAATACAACTGATATCCATCACTTCACCAAGGTTCAAATACCCATCGGTCCACATTTCATTCCGATTAAGCGGTGAGCTAAACCTTTTTTCGTGTTCCAACATAAAATCAATCAATACAATTGGCATTGATGCATCATTGTTTAAGTTTGTTCACTACACAAATTCTGAATTATCAAATTGTCATGTCCGAGGCATAGACACTTTCGAAGAGGATGGGCTGCAAGGTGAAAATCACTAGTCCTACTCAGGTCTTTTCTCCACTCCGCATCTACATCAGGTACCACAACTCGATGTTCGTTGAACTACAAAAAAAGGAAGTTAGCACCATGTATCCAACTGAGAATTGTAACAATTACATGAGCACATGATGACTATAGCTTAGTTTTTAATAACAATCAGCAGAACTTGTTGAGAAAAAAAGATAAGAGCCAGAATACTAACTTCTATTTCTGGTTATTGTGTCATACATTTCAGTAATAATTACTAAATAAGTAAGGACAGAAGAAAGGAAGATGATAAGCAATAGATCATTATTGTCAAGCTTCCCGTCAATATATAATTCCAAAATTAGTAAAAATGGGGACAAAAAATGTATAATGGGGAAAGTAAGGACAAAACAAACATGGACTTTTTAGTGCAGAGAATTAAAGGCGTCTATCTATAAAAGGATGTAAGGCAGTCTAACAAACAATTCACAAACAATGTATTCTCCGGCAGTGTCGTAAGTGTAAATGAATGCATAGCAGAACTTGTGCAGCAAATATAAAAAATTGTTATTGTTCTTCAGAAGACCCTAACCAACAGTAAGCATCACTTCTAAAAATAGTGTGCTAAGGAAGATTCAAACCTGGAGCTAGCACAAGCACGATGAAAGTACTAAATTACTAATAGATATATGGCACATGCCCGCACTCCACTGCTGTTACAAGTTACTTCCCTGATGAGTGAATCTGTAACTAGCTAGTTGATACTTGGCAGTACTTTCTCTTGCTTAAGCAAGACCCTGCAATTATTCGCAAGAAAGGAAAATTAACATCGGTGTAAAACTGTCGTCCTAGCAGGTAGCTAGTCTTTACTCTAGTGTGTCATCCCGTGAAACCGATGTCGACACTAAAAAGGTTTGTCATTTGTCAACCAGATTGCTAGAAGGTCACTTGAATGATAGCATATTCTAACTGAAGCAACAAAGAAAAGAAAGTAAAGAAATATCAAGGTGTTTGAGTGTCCCGGCAAATTCAGCAACACATACAAAATTACTAGTAGGAGTCCATAAGGAGTTGTAACAAGTTACTTTCCTGATGAGTAAGTTTGCTGTTACTAATTGGCACTTGGCAAGCTGGGAGTACTATCCATGCGTTGTGTTTCTTGCTTAATCAAGGTCTGCGAGTCAATGCCGTCTAACTAGACAGCCAGAAAAATAACATCACCAACCAAATCTCTTGCTGCTAGTCGATCAATTTATACCAATAAATAAATTTAAGCTTCCTCACATCACATCTTATGATTGTGTGACAAATTAAGGAGAAGGCATCCAGGGATGGCTGTCATATACCTTTCATCAGGTGAAATATTTTCAATGACCAACGGACCAAAATGCACTTAGCCACTGAACACAACGCCGCCGCCACCACCTAGCATTTTCGGATAAAGCAAATCATTTGCTAATGTCAGAGGTTCAGAGCACCTGCATGTGGCACACAATCGAATACTTATCAGTTCAGGACACAAAAGTTTGCGCAAAAATACATGAAAACACATACTGTAGGAAAGGCAGCACACATGTGCACCACGGGAAACACCAAAACAGCACCTAGACAGCCTCTGCAATAAGAAAAAAGCAAGACGTGTGTTAGTGTTGTGATGAATATATGAGCTAGCTGAGAAAAATATGAGCCAACATGTGCCGAAATGCAAATTATAGGCAATTATATACAGATCAGTATATGAATTTAATCTTTCTAAAATGCTAGTTGTGGAGCTCTTTGTGTGCATGTAAGTGAAATGCATGATTATAGTGTATTAGTTATGATACAACCATGCATTATAATACTGTAATTGATACTACTCCTATCTGATAATTGTCTATACGATTATGCTCCTAATGAATTGATTTTACACTAGGTCTCCAATATTTTGCCTACGAGTCTATTAATTGTGATTTGATTAGATGTCAACTGCTGCTGAACCGATCAACGGTTGCTCCAATCATCTTTGAAATAAAGTACACTCTGACATTGACACTGCTTGTGCATTGGTGCCCTTGTATGAAAATTAGTTGTCTTGACTAGTACAGTAATTTACTCCGACTTATGCTTTTCCCCCTTTCAGAAAGGAACAATACAGGAATATATGAGATGGATTCTTATTAACCAATGAAGTAAATTTTGTCTCCGGCATGTGGAATTATTTAGAAGAAGAGAAGGCTCGAGTTCTTGGATCTGACCAGCAAGTTCAGGCATTAGTGCATGGACGGTGAGTTGATGGATTGGAGAAAAAAATACGAGGTGGAAGAGGAGCGGGGCTAACCTTGGTGGAAGTAGGTGGAAGTTGACCGTGGAACCGTCGCCGTTGCCGTCACCGGAGGGGCAGGAACTTCGAGGGGGAGGGTAGATCTAGGGAAGGAGGAGGGTGACGACCACGGCCGTCGCGGTCGCTGGTGGGCGGAGCATGCAGGCAGAGCACCGGAGGGAGGGGGCGGTCCGTCTCTCCGGTCGCTGCCGGAGAAACTCGGAGGCGAAGGACTGGATCTTGGCCGTCGTCGCCTTTCGGTCGCTGCGCTCGCGGTCTCGCTCGAGCCGTGGCTTCTCTCCCTGACCCCTGGAGGGGTGGAACGTTTCCCCAGGGAAACGACGCGGGTAGGGCAGGGATACCTCCCCAACGAATCTGTCCAAATATCGCGCTTGATTTCCCCGGCTCGATCGGGCCCGTGCTTTTCTCGCCCGGGGAATAAGCGGGGTTCCCTCCGGGATCCCGTGCAACCAAACGAGGCCTACATGTTGGATTGATGCCCCATCTCCCACGTCGGCTCATGGTACAACTTATGTAAAACACAACTAAAAAAAAAACTCATGTAAAATACCCACATCTTTTAATCGGACACCCGAGAAC